CATTTGTATATCGGAATTTAATATTTTCACTGCCTTAGTCTGCCCTAGGTGGCTTACATATTATGGTTAAAAAAGGGCATCATCATCATAAGCAATAATAACCAATGGCACATTTTTGTAAATCTTTAGCAAAGCATCAAAATAAACTTATACTAATAGTTATTCCAACCATGAACAACTATTTGATTTATTTAAACATACTTGTAAAACAATTGATGATTTTCACTTTAATACTGGAATATGCTGGGAAGCACAGAGTCGCCGTCCGAAACAAAGTTTTGTGAGGCAGTTTTAAATTGATTTTACCTGAGCTGGTTTGCAAAGTCAAATAAACTGATAATCTTTATGACAGATTTTCACTTCCCCACTATTTCTCCCCTTCTCATTCTATGCCTGTAGCTCCTCCGTAGCTTTCCATCCTCCACCCATTCTTCCTATACTTCTTTCTAGAACACTTATGGAGTATTTCTCTTACTGGATTGGGATCACATACCCTGATGTTGTCCAGTTGGCGTGGATGATACTGGTAGCTTGAAATCAGAGTTTCTGAATGGGAATATGTAGGGCACAACAGCAGCTACTATATGAGTTGTTCCTAAACTAGTAAGTCTGGAGTGATGCAATTAAAACTAAACTATTTCTGGTGCACCTTCATTAATTATATCTCTCCATCCACAAGCTCATTCATGCTTTAATCAACCTGATGTTTCATATACACGAGTTGTAATTACTCCACCCAGAAACACATATGGAAATGTTACATCAGGACCCCTGCTTTAAATTACAAAAACAACAGGACTATTCCAAGATTGTTTAAGAGCCAGGGCACATGCGAGAAGCAATTTTGAACGGATATAGGTTTATAATACGATGTCATGCAAGTTTATTTAATAGCAAGTCTCATGAATTTATATTTGACTTTTTGCAAGTATGGGTAAAACTACCACCACAGAATAAAATCTTAAGGATGGGCTTCTGCCTGATCTTTATATATCTTTATATTCTTCAGAAGTCTACCATATTCACTTTATATGATCAAAGGCAAATGTATATGGGACGGCAGCCTTAAATTTTCCACTTACTGAGTTCCATGGAATTTCTTTACAAGGAGGTTTATTTATTACATTTGTATCCCACCTTTTGTGCAGGAGCTCAAAGCATACATAGGGCTTTCTCCTATTTTTCCCCATAGCAACCCTGCGAGGTAGGCTGGGCCAAGAGAGAGAGAGAGAGAGGGGTCAAAGCCACCCAGGCAGTCTCCATGGCTGAGGTGGGCTAGATCCTGAGTTCCTCTGCACCTAGTCCAACAGCCTCACCACTATGCCACCCTGGCTCCTGACTGCCGGCTTCTGATCTACCAGCTTCTGAAATCAGTCAGTCAATCAGTCAAAATTTATTTACAGTCCAAGACCAAACACCACAAAAGACCAGTACGCAATACAATAACTATAAAAGGAAATTTTAAAAATTGCAAGAAAATCCTAAAGCAATTAGCAGCTAACAATAACATGAGGAAGAAACCAGATGGCTTCTAACAGCTGTAGCTCTAGATGAGAATTCTGCAGCCTTCTTAGAGGTCTCTGAAGAGTGGTCACCCAGGAGGGTAATGGCCTCCTGGTCACAATGGCCTTTAAAGTTAAGACGTTACAGAAATATCTAGGGCCAGACCGAGGAGGAGGAGCGATCGTGCTATAAAAGGGATGGGAGACTTTGGCTCTGGCATTTGGGTTGTCTAGATCCCAAATCCTTTGCTGTATGCTTCGTTGTACGCTGCCCAGAGTCACTGGTTGTGAGATGGGTAGCTCTACAAATGGGTTAAATAAATAAATAAATAAATAAATAAATCCTCTGGTTTAGCTCAGCCAGGGTTTCATCAAGTCGCAAAGCAGATCGTGCTGATGAGGTAAGGCCGCAATATGCCAGATCGTCATTAAATAGTCTTCTTAGGTTGGAAAAGAAGCTATCCGGCAAGGTGAGATGAACTAAGGATACTCCCCAGTTGACTTGCTTCAGCCAGAATCCAAGATGACAAATCTTAATCGGGCCCCAAGGGAACCACAGCCTAATTCTAGTCCTGTCATGACATTGGAAGTTGAATAAGGAATTCATCGTAAGATTTTGCTTTTGAAATGCGTTTCCCTGCAACAGCATTTTTATGACCGAACGTAACGTTGATCGTAGGCACTGGGTTCCCAATAACGATGATTAAAAATCAAAAGTAAACAGGAACAGATCTTGTGACAGGCGTTAAAAGTCGCCGATGCAGGTTATTTATTCTTTAACACAACCCGACATTTTGCAGAATGCTTTAATTGGTCGTGCTGCAGTTGCCCTGCGAGGCTGTGCAAATCCTTCCAAAGAGGCGGCTTAGATCGCATGCAAAGCACCTCTCAGAATTAAAACCGCTGCATCTTTTTCCAGGCTGTGTTAAGTACATTCAGCTGCATACGGTAAGCCTGTGATCTTCCCACGGGGAAAGACTTAAAAAGGAAGTCTTCCCGATGGACAGGACAAAAGGATGAGGGCTAGCTATCATTCTGCAGTAGTCAGTCCAGAATAAAAAGACATGGACTTTACCTGTATATAAATCAGGCAGCGTCCTCCAGCACTGAAGATTCATGATATCCATTGACGAAGCAAAGACCTCCCACTCTGATTTTCTTTGCAATATGCAAGGATTCCTGTAATACATTGCTGCTTAGTGTAGATACGGAAGAAAAGTAATAATACTTGGGAGGCTGAAGTTTCACCCTCCAACTTAAAAATACAGAGGGAAAAACAGAAAACCATCTATGGTTTGTCTACTGACGTACACAGTATCCCTAAGCAACATGGTACTAAGGAGGACAAAATCCTTTTGGCGCTTCGTAAAACAAGACAAAACCTGATCTGTTAAATATGAAGGAAGAAGGAAAGCAATGATGAATATTAAGGTAATGCAATAAATGAGATAACAGAAATGAAATCCATAGCACAATTACAATCATTAAAAAATAAAACTCCTTACATTAAATATACAATTATTATTTCGTCTTCAGATTAAAATATTCCATATTAGGACTGCATTGATATTTCATTATGCAATTATTGTTTAGACAATACAGAGCTCCACTTAAATTGATGCATGTTTTTCATTTTTTTAAATAAATAGGAAATAGGTTTTATTTAGTAATATTTTCTGGAATGCATAATATATTCTGACTGTGTTAAAAATCTGAAAGATTTACTACCAAAAGTAGTCAATGCTTAAACACTTCTTTTAGCATGTAATAATTATTTTAATTGGCAGAACTATTGTGCTGTATTCCGAACTCTAATATTTCTATAACTTTTGCATTCTCCATCATTGGACTAGCTAGTTTTTTAAAATACTTTTTCTGCTTATGATTATTCTTAATACAGGTTCTGAATCTTCTATTACGTCAAGTACTACAAAAGAGTTCATATCCTTTCCTTCCAAATATATATCCTTTGAAACAAATTGGCAGTTGTGGCCAATTTAATCAATGTGTATTAATTTTTAACAACAATTCCTCAAAGATCGATAATTGCACTGAAGAAGGAAGAATCAATATCCTTGTGTTGCACGTCATCCAATGAAGTTCTAAGACATGATGTTACTACTTTCCATATAATTTCCTACACAGGTATTACTTGTGGATTGTACAACACGACGTTTGGCTATTAAGTCAAGTTGACCAAGGTGTTGGGGCAAGCTATGATCATTCAAATATATCCAAATGTACACTCCAACCAAGGAATGCTTGTCATCTGAATGATTAGTAGGGAAGTTTTTAATCAGTTTGTAGATACTAATCTCTGCTGAAAGGAATGCAGGATACTGGGGGAGGAGGAATTGGTGAATTATATGTGATTGTAATAAGCACCTTCATACAATACAACCACGTCTATAGCTGTGCTCAGTCAAAACAAACCAACTTGAAATTATTGTACAGGAGGCAGCAACTAAAACCATCCCAAAGAAAAAGAAATGCAAGAAAGCAAAATGGCTGTCTGA